CTGGTGGGGGGGGGCGGGAGGGAGAAGGGCACCGCCGCGTCCCTCCCCCGGGGCACTAGGGCAGGAAGGGGCACAAAGGAGCTGCCTCCTGGTCCCACTTTCTGCTGCGGAGGCCTTCCCCCCTACAAGGAGGAGGAGGTCATGGGCCCAGGGGGCCGGCGGGGGAGGCCGGGGTGCCTTCGGCCTCATCCAGAGGGATGACGGGATCAAGCAGGGCTGAGAACTTGCGGTCGCCAAAGGCGGCGTTGAGCCGGGCCTCGAAGAACCGCTGCAGGCCCAGGATGGATTGTACGTCCGCCTTGTCCTGTGGGGCGAGGCAGGAGGTGAGGGGACCAGAGCCACAGCAGACACCCCCAAATCAGCCGCTGGCTCCCTACTTCTGCCTATTTCTCCTCCCCCCATTACCCACCCCAATTTCCCCTCAACCCACAGTAGGACCCCGCAATCCGCCTTGATTCCGCTCCCCTTCCCAGCCCCCCCCCCCCACCAGGAGCCGGCTACCCCAACCCGAACCCTTTCCTCCTGTCCCCCTCTAACCCTTGCCCGGGCCCTGGGAGGAGACCATGGGGCTCCGTGTCCCCTCCATCACCACCTCCGTGAGCTTGTTGAACTGGCGGATCATCCTCCAGACGTCACGGGCGAACTCCTCGGGGCAGCTGTAGGGAGGTGACAGCTTCTCCTGCAGCTTGGCCCGGATGAGGGTGAGGTCAATGGCATTGTGGCCCTCCTGAAAACGGGAGGCAGAGTGGATCAGGGCACCGTGGGTGCCCCCAGATGCCACCCCGAAAGCTCTCCCCCACGGCACAGGACTCACTGGGGAGCTGCAGAGCCGGTGCAAGGGCCGGCAGGGCTCGTGGCAGAGTAGCTCCAGCAGCACGTGCTCGCACTTCTGCGGGGAAAGAGCCAAAGCACGTGAGAGGGATCTCTCCATCGTCTTCTTCCCATCATTGGATCCTCAATCCCACCCCCCCCCCTCCAAATACGCACCCGCTGGTCCAGGGGGCAGAGCTTGTGGGGTGACCCCTCCTCAGGGCTAGGGATGCTGGTGGCGAGGTCCTCGCGGGGGGCCGGCAGGTCCTGACACAGCAAACACCTCCACTCGGGGCTGCAGGATCAGGCGAGGGATCAAGTGGGACCCAGGTGTCCCCACCCCTGCTGGAGCGGGCAGATCTCCCAGGATCTGGGCCCGGAGCTCCACAGGTGCCTGGCACCAAGGGATTGGCACCAGTAACACTCAGAACAGTGGATCCCAACAGTTCTCAGATCAATGTGTGGATTGCCACGTGGATCAGGGCCAGATACCCAAGGATCAAAGGGGGGGGACCTACTATGGATGAGGGGCACCAGCTCCCCAGGACTCTGGGATCAAAGAGGTCCTCCCACATTGATCAGAGATCAATGCATGGCTGCCCACATGGATTGGGACAGTTATTTCCCAAGGGATCCAGGTTCCTGTGTGGGTCCCCACATGGATTGGGGACAGTTCATCCAGCAGGGTCTGGGAGCAAAGGGTAGATCCCTCTGTGGATAAGACATGTCAGATTGCCAGGGATTTGGGATCAACAAGTGGATCCCAACATAGAAAAGGGTCAGGAGATCCCTGAGGATCTGGGCTTCGGAGGTAGATTCCCCCCCCCAAATCAATCAGGGAGAGGAAATCTTCAAGGCTCTGTGATCAATGGGTGGGCCCCCACATGGATCAAGACCCAATCTCCAGGGATCGTGGGCAAGTCTCTCCGTGCCAAGACCTGGCAGAGTAGACCCCAAGATGATCCCATGGGACTCTGCCATAGCTGAGGGGCAGATCCCAGGAAAAGTCAGAAGATCCAGGCGATCCAGTGGCACCCAAGAATCCCAAAAGAAACCAACAGATCCCAGGGAAGAGAAGTGGATGGGGGCTGAGCAGCTCCCAAACCTCCAGGGCAACAGGCAGCAACCAGCTGAGCTGGGGGGAGGGCTGGATCCTAGGGAAAATGGGAAAACCCCAGCGGCCAGTGATCACCAAGAAATCCACTGGCACCAAAGGATTCCCCAAAGGATGGTAAGGGGTAGCAGCAATTCCACTCCCCTCCTGGGACAAGGAAACTGAAACTGTCATAGGAGATGAGATCCCAAAGATCTAGTGGTTCCAGATGATCCTTGAAGATCCAGGGAGCAGCAGATACCCACAACTGACCCCCGGAAAGCCAAGGGGCAGTACACACCCCTCTCCCAGAAGGGGGATCCCAAGGAAGAATAGTGGATCCTGGAGATCTAGCAGTGCCAGAGGAGCCCTAAGGACAGGGACCCTCAGCAAGGGGGGGATCAGTAGATCCCAGGGAGATGAGGCAATCGGGGGGGGGGGGGGGGAAAAGGCCCCTGTGGTGCGGGGGCTCAGCAGATCCTAGGGATCAGGCATACCTGGGGACCTCCTGGAGGGCAGGGAGGTGGCAGTCAAGGTGGTAGCAGTGCTCGCAGCGGTCGCACATCACCACGGCGCCAGCCTGGCGACACACGCGGCAGCAGGCCATGCCAGGGCCAGGGGCAGCCTCCGTGGGCCTGGGTACCGTCCCCAGGGAGGTGCTGGAGGGCCCCAGCACCCTGGACTGCTCAGGCACTAGTCCCACTGGTTTGGTGTCCTGGCCATCCCCAATGGCTGCCTCCTGCTCCTCCTCCTGCAGGCGGGAAAGCAGGGTTGGAGGGAAGGACATGGGGACGGGCACGCGGAGAAGTGGCCACCACAGAGTGGGGAAGCACAGCTGAGCACTCGCCTTGACAGTGGGGGGCCCAGGGAGCCCCGGCTGCATCCCCCTCTCGATGACGATGAGGTTGAAGTCCTCGGCCGAGGTGCCGGGGAAGACACGGAAGACCGGGGGCTGCGCGGCCCCCGAGAGGTCCAGGTCCAGGCGCTCCAGACTCACCCGTGGCACCTTGCGGAGCAGAGCGTTCACCCGGCCCTCAGGGGGCCGGCTCCTGGGGGGCATCACGGCGCTCAGAGATGGTTGTTCCCCCTGCTCTGTCCCTCTGGGTGCAGACCCTTGGGAATTGGGGTGCTGACAGCCCCCAACCTCCCAGGATCAGGGTGGCCCAGCAGTTCCTGATCTGCCAGGGCCACCAGGGCAGGGGGAACTGGGGTGCTGGCAGCCCTGATCCCCTAGGGACAAAGATGTCAACAGGGGGAGGGCCCAAGCCACTCCCTGGGTGCAGGATGATATGGGACAGGAGAGCCACAGTATGGGGTGACAAGGGAGAGGGGAGCCTTGGGTACAGTTGTCCCTGCCACACTCTGGACACAGAGCGACAAGGGATGGGTGGGGGGGAGGGGCTGTCCCAGTATGAGGTGACAAGGGGATAAGGGACAGGAAGGTCCCAGCCAGCCCTGACACATGATAACAAGGGACATGGGGGTCCCAGCTACCCCTGGACACAGGGTGACATGGGACAGGGGAATCCTAGGTACAAGGTGACAAGGGGCATGGAAGGGACACGGGACTGGCAGTCATCCCAAGGCACGTGAGAAGGGACAGGGAAGCTTTGGGAACAGGGTGACAAGGGACAGGAGGGTCCCCTGGTATGGGGTGAGAAGGGACAGGGGGAGTTCCAGCTACCTCTGGGCACAGGGTGACAGGGGAGCCCCAAGTACAGGGTGACATGTGGTCCCAGCTACCCAGGGCATGGGGTGACAGGGGGGTCCCAGCCACCCACCCAGAAAGGGGGTACCATCTTCTGCCCTCCCTCAACCCGCTGCCATAGAGGAGGCACCTAAACCCCAAGCCATCATTATTACCACTTAATGAGCAGCTCCTTAATGAACTCCTCCTCCTCCTGGGGAGGATTAACACGTTTTCTCCTGAATAATGAGTTCATAAGGGCACCTTCAAAGACTCAAGGACACCTCAGGGGTCCCCATCCAACCCCAACCCAAAGCAGCTCCATCCAGACCAGGTCTGCCCCAGCCAGGATAGGGCTGGAGACCTCCTGGGACAGAGACCCCCTCCCCCCAGCAATGATAGGGACATAGTGGTCCTGTCCCCCATCCTCTGTGCTTCGGTACAGGGTGACAAGGGACAGGGGAACCCCCCCCAGTCTGGAGTGACAAGGGGCAGGGGACACAGGGGGGCCTGACCCAGGTATGGTTTGACAAGGGAGAGGGGTGTCCCTGCCACTCTGAGCAAAGTGATAAAGAATGGGAGGAGGTCCCCAGTATGAGGTGACAAGGGACAGGGGGGTCCCAGCCGCCCTCTGGGTAAGTGATGACACTGGACAGGGGAGTTCTTGGTATGGGATGATGAGGGACAGAGGATCCCCAGGCATAGGGTGACGAGGGATGAGGGGTCCCCAGCCACCCCCAGGGCACATGTGGGCAAGCAGGGCAGGGGAGCAAGCCTTGGGTATGGGGTGACAAGGGACAGGAGAGGCCAAGTCACCCCAGACACAGGGTGACAAGGGACAGGAGGGTCCCACAGGTACAGGGGGCCATGGGGGGGTCCCAACCATCTCCAAGGCACAGGGTGACAAGGGCCAGCAGAGTCATGGGTATGGGGTGACAAGGGACACGGGGGTCCTCCCCCCACTCACCTCTTCATTCCAGTCACAGCAGCTTCAGGGGGGGCATCAGCTGCAGAGAAAAACCCTGCGTCAGGGGCCTTCCTCCCCCTTCTCCCCAGTCCCTCCCAGTAACCCCCAGCCCCCCCCTAACGCTCACCCAACTCAGTGCTGGCAGCCACGTCCCCAGGACTCTCAGCAGGCTGCGGGAGAAGAAGCGGGGGGGTAGGGTCGCGGCAGTCTGGCCCCTCAGTGCTCCGGGTTAACTGAGGCAGTGGGGGTGTCTCCGGCCTGTCCCCGGCAGACTGTGGGGTGCTAGGGGCCCCCAGGGCACCCTGGGCCTCCTCGCTGCTGTGCCAGGGTCCTGCCGGGGGTTGCAGGAGGGGACCAGGGGCGTATTGGCCTTTGCTCACCACCGTGGCTTGCAAGGGAGCCTGGGAAGATAGAGAAATGCAGCTCTGTTATTGGGGAGGGGGAGCACCCACAGGTGCGGCACCCACCTGAGATTTGCCCCCCACCGCCCCAAGGGTACCTGCAAGGCGCCTGTGGTTGGGCTGGGGCCACGGGGACTGGCCGGGGGGGGCTGGGGGGTGAGGGGCGGTGGAGGAGGACAGCTCCACTCAGAGATGATGGTCCCTGCGAGGGAGACATGGGCGTCAGGAGAGCCCGTCCCCAGGTGGAGCGTCCCTCGGGTGTCCCCTCCCCGCGGGCTCACCGAAGCTCTCGGCGCTTTTGGTCCAGGCGTTGAGGTCCCACTGGAACTTCATGTCGCCCTGCGGCTCCACAGGGTCCACGATCATCTTGAGGGCACGGTGGAGCTGGAAGTAGATCTGGGGGCACAGGGCACCCGTCACACCAGGGGGACCCCGAGGGGACCCACAGCAGTGTGCCAGGGGCACCCCTCATGGCACAGGGATACCAAGTGACCATGGGTCCTAGGGGCACCCATTACACTGGGAACACCGAGGGGACACATGGCAACACCCTGGGGGTGCCTGCCACAGCCCAGGGACACCCAGGGAACCCACTGCAGCGCCCCAGGGGCACCATCCTACATGAGAACCCCAAGGAGACCACAAAGGAGCCCGCTGCAGCACCCCAAGAACACAGTGGGAGCCAGGGGACCCATCACACCACTGGAAGGTGGAAGGGACCCACTGCAGCATCCTGGGGACATGAGGAGGACTGGGGGGACCTGTCACGCCACAGGGACAGGGAGGCAGCGAGACACGGCCACAGGAACGCAGGGTACCCCAGAGATGCCGAGGGGGGACTCAGTGACTGCCAAGGGGGAGCTGGTGGCCCTGGACCCATCACACCACAGAAATATGGAGAAAAGAGATGGGGGGGGACATGGCCAAGACCGCACAGAGGCCCTCTCAAGCCAAATCTGGGTGAACTAGGGTCAAATCACCCCCCAGGGGACCATCTTCTGATCCCACTTTATGGCACTTCTCCCCCCCCCACCCCCGCCCCAAAAGTGTATCGAGGGCAAATTTGGGCAGAGATTGGATGTGGATGGGGCACCCCACGCCGAGATGCAACACAGCTGCAGCTCTACTGTTTGGCACCTATTTCCTCACCCCGCCCAGCCCCAAAAAGCAGAGTGAACACGATAGGGGAACCGTTGGCCCCTATGACCCATCCTGGGGGGAAGGTCCCTGCCCAAGATGAGCGCAGGGAGGATGCGGAAAGGGGGTCCAGCCCCTCTCCAGCTCACCAGCTTCTTGGAGAGCAGTAGAGCGGTGCTGTTGTCGCTCTCCAGGGCCCAGGAGGCGAAGCGGAGGATGTGCTCCTGGTGCCGCTGCAGCTTGGTCATGGCCCAGTGCTGCCGCTCCAATTTCTCCTGCTGCCCCTCCGTCACCTTCTGCAAGGAGAGGAAACACAACCACCATCAGCGAGGACAGACCAGGACATAACGGATGCTGTTAGGGGGACACAGCTGCTCCCCAAGACCCCAGAGCGCAGACACGAGGTAAGAGGAGAAGCTCACCTGAGCGTCGCTCACCAGCACCTTGCCACGCTTGTTCAGCTCCTTCATGATCTGGAGGATGGCCATCTTCACGTCCACCTGCACCCGCTTCTGCACATCCGTCACCTGGCGGATGCTGCCGGCAGAGAAGGCCAACGGTGAGGGGGGCCGGATGCTCTTCGCTGGGGGCAAATCCCCCTGCCCGGGGCAGGTGGGGGTACGTACGAGCTGCGCACTTCCTTGGTGGAGCGCTGCAAGCTGGCGTGTTTGTCGCCCAGGCGCTTCACCAGCGTCGCCAGCATCTTGCGCTGGTTCCTCACCGCGTCCTCCAGGAACTGGTACCTGCAGGGGGGGGAAATGGGGTCAGCGGCGGTCCCCAAAACACCAGGATGGCCTTGTCCACACTGATCCACATCCCCCTAACACAACCGTTGGGGGTCCCAGAAATAATCTCGCAGACTTAACTCCAGGGCTCACCAGAGTAGCAAATCTACTTTAGTTAGTTAACCTGCTCACTGCTGAGCTCACCTTCTTCATTAAGCTAGTTAAGCCATTAAAAACAAAAAAAGCCATCAAAAAAGCCACTTAAAACCTAAAAGCTATTAAGCCATTAAAATAAATAAAATCAATATGGGTTAAACAGCTGGCAGAACTAAGCAGCTGGTCAAGCTAACAAAATCCATTAATCACCTACTAAAAATCAATTTCACTCAAATGAGCTGCCTATCTTTATCAGTCAAGTTTCATATTAAATCCATTTTTAATGGCCAATTAGTCAGACAACCAATCAAACTATCAGCCATTAAAAGATAACCAGATAAGCAGCTAACTAACCACATTTATCAGTTACAATTCAAACAATCATAAAAAAAGGCGAGCTAACTTGATGACTACCGATCCAGAAATCAATCATATTTTAAATGAATTTTAGTAAACAACAAATGAGAAAACTAACGGAACATTTTACCCACTAAAATTCAGGATATTTAAACTAATCACTTAAAAAAATGAAATGACTTTTACAGCTTCATCAGCTAAATAATCAGTAAGAAACACTTAAACTGATTTTTAAGGAATGACTAACAGTTACATAACTAAGCAATCTAATTATCAGTTAAAACCATCAAGCTTTACCTGGTTAATTAGGTGATTAATTAGAATGCGCAAACTTTACTCTTATGATAAAAACAAGTCATAGTAATAACTAATGCAACTTATTAGGTAAATTAGACGACTAAACAAGCAGCTTATTAGTCAGTTCACATTTTAATCTGAGATTTTTAAACAGTTTTATCCATTAAAATCAGTCGAAAAATAATTAGTTAAAAATTAAATAATTTAATACATTAGCAAAAGATTTGTTAGATTTTTAATGGATAATTAATCACAGTCCAATTGACTGAAAACTAAAACCAACTTAAAAACTAAAATTGATCAGCTTGCTAACTAAACAGATAATTAACCAGATATTACATAACTAAGTTATCTATTGGACAAAATTCAGTTGATTAAAGATTTATTTTTTTAAATTGCTAGCTAACAAAGTTAAACTGATCGGCTAGCCAGCTAGTTACTTAGTTGTTTGACTTTTCTTAGTCATTCCTTAAAATTCAGTCTAAAAATCAACTAAAATCAACTAATTCAAAATTAATTAAAAGCAGGCCCTGGCAAGTTACAGAACACATAGGCCACAGAATCAAATTTTCATTGATAATCAGACTTTGATCAGTTATCTGACTTGACATAAATCAACATATTGCATCAGTGATCTAACTTACTATCTCTTCAAGTGATTCATTAGCCGTGAAAAATCAATTTGGTTGTATTTAGTCAGGACGCTAATTAGCAAGTGGACGGGCTTGCCAATCACTCACTGGTGATCCTTGTGCGCGTTGAGCTGGCAGTCGCGGCAGGTGAGCGTGTCGCACGTGTCGCAGAAGAGCACCAGCGGCTCATGCTTGTGCACGGCGCAGTACACGGCGCGCTCGCCCTCCTTCGCCTTGGAGCCACCTGCGTGGGGAAACGTGGCACGACATCACCACGATGTCACCGTGACGCCACCGACACCCGCCACCTCGTTGCGGGATGGCTACAACTGCTGCGGTGGCCCTTCTGGAGGCACACAGGGACCACCCCAACCCCGCTCAACGTCCCTCCACGTCCCCGTCCTCCCAAAAGCTGGCATGTCCTGGCGCGGTGACAGCAACGGACCTGTGGCTCGGACTGTGTGGTCCTTGGTATACTTGACCCGCTGGTGGGCCTCCACGCACGTCTCGCACAGCGGCTCCGAGCACTCCACGCAGTAGCTGGTGGCCGGTGCGTTGTCCTCACAGCTGGTGCAGCACTAGGGGACAAGGATCCGTGGGGTGACATGTGTGTGGGGCTCGGAAACACACGTGTGGGACCTGGCCTGCCCCAAATCCTCGGCTGCAGGGATTCTCTCGCATCTCGTACGGAGGCTGTACTCACACTTCCACCTCTCCCCAGCGACTAGGAGCTCATTTTGGCCATGTTATTTCAGACCTGTTTTATCACGTCATCACATTATTTATTGGACGAACAATTTAGTTTCAGTTTTGCCCAGCTTGTGCAATGCATGCCCCAAAAAAAGGCATGATTAACCCTTGAACCACTGGGGAAGGAGGAAGGACAACCCAATATAACTGGATTATTACCAATTAGTTAATTCAGGCTATCAGCATTGTCGTGGCAGGGATAAAAATAATGCGTTGTCTTAATAACAGCACCCAAACACAACAGACCAAGGAGGTCCCTGAGGAGCGGCTAGGACAGGCGCTACGAGCTTGGCCCCCCCTCATCGAGGAGCTCCGCATCAACGCCTGGCCGGCACGGGGCCTTACCTGGTTCAAGTCCTTGTTGTCGGCAGCCGCCTCAGCCCCGCTGTCCCTCAGGAAGTAGTTTTCCACGATGTCCTTCAGGTTACACTGGTGCTTGCAGATGGGGCAGTCGACCACTGTGGGGAGGGAAGCGGTGGGGTGGGTGCGGGGAAGGTACGAGAAGCAGCCCCTAACCCCTGCTGTGTTTTGCCCCGATTGGGGCGTTTTGCTCCGGTCGTGGCGTTTCGCCCCTCCAGACTCCCCTGGAGGCGGCCAAGGGACCTGCGCAACGCCTCATCCCCTTTTCACCCTCCGAAGCCTCCTGCAAGGAGGTGGCAGCGGCCAGGCTGGGACAAAGCAGCTCCGCGGCGGCAGAGATGGGTCGCCGGGGCTGACCGAGAAGCCCAGCCTGGAGGCAACCTCTCCCACGAGTTTTTTGGCAGCAGAGCCCATCCAATGGAAGGCGAGAAGGAAGAACCCGGAGCAGCCGGGAAGATGCCCTGGATATCTGACCGCTGAGCTAAGAAACCCTCAAAAATGGGATGGCTGTCGAGGCCAAGCTGAAAACTTCACTCCGAAACCAAACTTTTCATGCAGAAGCATGCTCTGGGTGCCCCGTCACGCCAGGAGATCCAAAGAGGACTCGTCAGCACTGATTTTGGCTGCACGGGACCTCTGCGGGTCCTTGCTCCAATCTGAGCCCAATGCAGGACCAGTACAGACCAGGTTCCGCATAGGATGCATACCTCCACGGATGGAGACTCACCAGCACCCATTCCTGATTGGGGCAGGGCCGGGTTGCTGGTCCAACCCCAGGCCAAAACGGGTCCACCTGGATCAGGTCACACGCAAACCTTGAAGACCTCTAAAGACAGAGGCCCACCACATCCCTGGGTCTCTCCCCAGCTGACCTCACCGGGGCAGGAGGGTCGGGGCTTCCAGGGGTTCCTGCACCAACCTCAACCAAAGCAGGACCATTGCCAACACCGCACTAGGTCGCTGACAGCTTCACCTAGCCAAACCTCTAAGGACGGAAACCCACAACTGCTCTGGTCCCCTCCAGACAAAGAACTTTCTCCAGATGCCCAACTTGAACCTCCTCAACCAGAAGCCACATCAGGCACCCCTCGCCGCCTCCCCCAGCTCTGCCACCAACAGCCAAGCAGCCACCGGTCTACCCTTCCTCCTCCTCTTCCTCTCCAGGGCTTTGAGAAAGGGTAAGCCACCTGCGACCGTTGAGATACCATCTACCACAGGTGGCAGCGAGAGGAAGCAGCGCTTCTGATCTCTCCAGAAACTTCTCTGCCTGGCAGATGCCAAGGCAAGGGGAAAGAAAAGAATGGGGCTCCAGGACTGGGGTGAGAAACCTCCATAGAGGCGACCACGAGCAACGCCAAGCTCTGCCACGAGCGGGACAACACCACGCTGGGAAGGACCCAGGCATCCGGGCAAGGCCAACAGGGCCACAGGGCAGTTGGGAGCTTCCTGGTACAAGCCGGTGTCAAACTGGGATGAGGCCAGCAGATGCCACCAAGCACAGCACGTTCAGGGAGCAGCCAAGGGAGCTGGTGAAAGGGGACCTAAAGGTCCACCCGACATCCCAAACCACCTCCGGAAACACGGACCAGCTTTCTGGGAAGAGCTCATTGGTGTTGGAGCCCTCAGGGAACCCAAGGGCATCAAGAGCACCCATCTACTCCTCCGTTGCCC